TCCTCGAGGTCGTTTTCTCGTCGCGGCGTTGGAAGAAGAAAAAAATTGTCTGGAATCGAAAATTCCAGAGCACGTCGCGGTGCGAGAAAAAGGAACGGGATCGCGATAGGCCTAGCTACGGCTCTGCATTTTTCCAGTGCCACGGATGCTCGAAAAACTGGGTCGAATATCCGTGGCCAGGTTTTCTAAAGCAGCCGTTCCGACCCACGCCGCTCTCGGCGGAAAAGTGCTTCGAGCGCTAATTAAAGGGGCTGAGTCGGTACGCGAGAGGGTAGCAGCTTATCTCGTGTAATCTCGCGCTGCGACACGTCGCATCGATCGTCGTCTTCCGAAAATACTTGCACTCTTTCCTCGTCGCGCCTCCGGACTCGATAACAAAACCAATTATAACGTTACGGACATTTTCTGACGACGAAAAACGCGGGAACAGTGTTTCTCGAAAAATTCATTCTAGAACGAAGCAGTCTCGAGAACGAAAATAGCGAAACCAGTCATCGATCTACGTTTCTACCTACGAGGTTGCAGCTATAACTTACAAGAAGAATACTTGATCAGATACGCCTCCAGGGTATCCTTTTAGATATCAACTACTCGTATCGATCTGTACACTCGTTCGCGTGATTCTATTCTCGGAAATTTGCTCGATACGTTTCCTATTTTTCTTCTTAAAAAATATCTTCGCCAACGCGTTAACTAAAATCGGAAGAATAATCCGAGTGAATTATAGAAATAATTTTTTAAGGATATGGAGAAAATTCTGCTTCGACTGTATCGTCCGCGAGTATCCTATATCAGGATGGATAGAGCCGAAAAGCACGTTAACGTAAACGAGATTCACTCGATCCCTTCTCACCCTGTGCACCGGTGAGTCCCATTAAACGAACTCAAAGTCATCTTACCCCGTAGCGTTAGGGGATGTTTCCTCTGACGCGACGGCCGGAATCTCGTCTTTCAGCCTGATTCCGTCCAAAGCTATTAATTACTCGCTCGTTCGTCGGGTTTGACCGTATTATCCGTGGATCGGCGTGTTTGCCACTCGAAATACAAAAGCACGACCAAGAGGAAACGCGGGAAGAACATGAAGCGGCAAAGATAAATAGGGAGATACAACGGCAAACGGTCGAGCAAACAGATAAATGTATTGGCTGTATATAGAGAGGGAGAGAGAGAGAGCTTGGGGAGAGCGAAAGAGAAAACGGACTGGGAAATAGGTCCGGTCGATTCCAACTGTAATTGGAAGAATCGATTTGTTGCGATGTCGAGCGTCGTTCTAGATTCTCGCGTGCCCCGTAATGAATTTTCCCTACAACGCTGCTTTATCCTGCCTCGGATCGTTCGTGTTTCCTACGCCGCGAGAAGACAACCCTTTTACGATATTCAATTTCCACTTCTTACATCGAATTCGATAACGTAGCTCGTTTAGAGCTCTCCGAGCGTCCGTGTGTCGCATGGTCAACAGTTAGGTCAAGAGTATATCCATCCTCTTTAAGCGTTCAGTCGTGCTAAGGCAAGACGCGAGTAGTCGACACAGTAGTCTAAGGTAGCTTTGGCATAGCAGCTGTCAACAACAGCTTGGTTTCCGATCAACGACTCGATAACCATGTGTGTACACCGTCTACGTTGAAGTGCGTCGAATCGAGTCCAGTCACGTAGCTGGAAACTCGATTAGCGAGAGTGGACCGTGGCTACGGAATAATTGCTAATTAACCACTCGCCGCTTCCCGCTCGAACGCGATCGTCTCTCGCGAATTTCATCGACGACCAATCTTCCTATAAAATATTTCCCGCGAAAGAACGCTCTGCATCGCGCACGATTTTCCATCTGTCGCCACGCTATAGTTGCTAACTTCTTGTCGTCCGCATCCACGGCACGTAACGAAGTTTCGGATAGGGGCTGTAGTCCGGTTGCCAGAACAAATATTCGTTGCATGGCAGGTGCTACATTGTTCCCAAGCAGACAGCACCGACTTCGCTAAAGAGCTCGTGGACAACGTCTGTCGGACAACGGCTCTCGAGCACGCTCCATTTCAGATAGTTAGGATTATATCCTGTATTTATTGAATACCTTCCAGCTGAATCGGAGTTTGCGGATTTGTCCAAAGTGTATCTTAGCCTCGATTTATGTGTTTACCGAACGGTCTAACCGCGACTATTCGTTGCGCATTGATCAAACTTAACGATCTGTTTATCGTTTATTCCGTAGTCGTAAGGAATACTGCGAGATCGCAGCGAAGACAACGGTTGTACTCGTAGCAATCGTTGCATTTTCCGATTCGAGATTCGAACGTTTGCTCATACGTGTCTCGAAGCGTCGTATAAAAGGGTATTTGAAAAGTTCCATTTCTGAATCGCGATTCGGAACGTACAAACATCCATTATAGTTTCCGTCCGGATAGAAAACTATTACCGAAGAAAACGAATGTTTATCCTGGAACATGTTTCGCTGCGTCTCCAAATGTCACGACCATAAAAAGCATCCGGCTGGTTCGCGTTATTGCAGATTTCCCTGTGGGAGCAAAGGAAAATCGTATCCGGAGGATGATCGAGTGGCCCCATAACGTTTCAGCTGTTTCGTGTTCGTTTGATGCACTTTTGCAAGCTTCGAATACTGTTCTCGTTATAGCAGGAGACAGAAAAAGCGGAAGAGAGAACAGAACCGTACGTTATCTTTCGACGCAGCCGTTCTACCGGAATCCAATCAGAGCAAACGAATCGCGTGTGTGCGAAACGCGGACGAATTTAGGTTGCTCGTTTAGGCTGCACAAACGAATTTCCATTATTTCTTAAACTACCCGAATCGCTTGAAATATCGCGATAACCTATATACTCGATAGGGGATACACGGTGAACTCGTTGATTCGATTAGAAGTGGCCAGTGATAAACGGAAATGCGGTATAATGCTCGATCGAAGGAGAATATCGCGCGATATGAACGCGGACAGGTTGCCCAGAGTGGGTTAGCGACGTGTCTCGAGCATTAACGTATGCAGGCAAACTGGTCCGACCGAGTCAAACCCATTTCCTTGTCCCATGGCCCTACCTAACCCGGACCAGCTTATCGTCCTTAATTGACTTCGCGCCAGTCTGTATCCTAACTTTACTTTCCTGTAAATACGTTCGGAATTAACGCGAGAGTACTCGAAAGACGATAACCGTGGAACGCGTGGCGATACAAGGCAATAATACGTAGGCGAAACTTCCGTGCAAACGTCGCATTAGATATCGCGTTTGTCGAGACGAAAGAAATAATCGAGGTGGCACGAGGTAAAGCCAGGTCTTTCCCGAGGGAGCTTTAACGATCACGAGCGTTCTCCTCGTAATAACTGTAAACAAAGAGGCCGTGGAAAAGCAGGTTCCTCCGCGAAGCACCTTGCGAACGTGTATCGCTGCTATTCTGAATTCGTGGCACGCGAACCACGTTCTCTGACACGGGAGGAGGTTCGTTCGCGAAAGAAATCCCACGGGTAATTCATAAACAGAGCCAGCTCTGCGGCGAATTAAAGCGCCGTTGAGAATGATAATTCGCTCTTCGCTGTCCTCCGAGTCTCGTAGACTCTCCTAAACTCTCGACTACCCCCGTCCCCAGAAAGGACCAAAGAAAGAAAATGACTCGTTACCTTCGACCATTGTTAACTGGAAGCCTTTCTTTACCGCAGATACGAATTACGACCAAGAATAGACTCCGACGAGGAACAATTTTCTTCTTTCGTTTCTTTTTTCTCTTCCTTTTTCGGAAATTTATTATGCGATTGTCGTTGAACGACCGTTATCGTATTCCTTTTTCGACAAATTTATGCTTCGTTCGCGCTTTTCATTTCGACGTAACGATACGATTCGAAGACGTAAGATTTTTCGTTAAAATATCGTCGTGATCGAATCAAATGTAAATAAGCTAGGAAAAAAATGTTAGTGGAAAACTCATGAAAATCCTGCGAGATGTTTTTGCGCACCAGAGTACAATGCCCGCTCCCGTTTTAGTGGTTTTAAACGAATAAAAGTTGGTCGCGTTGCGTACAAGATTTCACGGTGTACGACTCCTTTCTATTTAATCCTTTACCTCTGAAGCATCCTCCGCACGCTCTACGAGCTGTCTCGAATTGTCTCCGTTTCTAAAACGAGCATGTGCCACGCAACCGTCGTATTAGCTTCCTGCATTTTCGACGTTTCTAAAGGGGATAAAATCAACGGAGCAGTTTTATATCTGGCAGCATTATCCCCCGTCGTAGCACTTTTAATCGTCACTGTTGGGAGAACGCAGAGATTCTCCCATCGCGAACGTTAATTCTCTAAAGACCTCTTCATCCTCGTCGGCAATTTTTTCCGTCTCTTCTTCTGCTCGTCCTCCATCGACCCTCTCCCGCGGGACCAACGATTAGTCTTCCGTGAAGAGCTTCGCCGCGCAAGAAGAATCCTCGATTCCTCGACCAGAAGATTCCTCGTTGCTCTTCGTTATCGGTTGCGACACGAGCTTTCGCCACGAGCTAATTGAACTTTAACGAGAAGGAGTCCGTCTTCTCGTCCCGACGCGACCGTCTCGAAATCACCCGGCAAAATCCGTCTCTCTCTCGCGGGGAAATCGTCCGACGAAAGACGAAAACGATGTTTAATGTTGCTCCTCGAGAGGGAAGAACGCTCGTCGAGAGTTGACCAGCGCGTTAACGAGGGTTCGATCGCGAAACAGTTGGTCCTTTCCACCCCATCGATTAGTCGTTAAGCTACCGCAAATCGAAATCGTGGCAATCGAGTCTTATCGCGTTACTTGCCAATTCCGAGAACATCCCGCAACTTCGTTCATCGTGATTTCGAGCCGTCGATGATCAGATACGAACACGGCATCGATTACGTATATTATATGTTAGCGTGAAAATTTGCAAGTTCGATAACGACGTTGGTTCGGAGGCGCGACTTCTTTCCCGTCGCGTCATCGAGCTCTCGGTTAATTAGCAGACGGCGTGTTAAATTCACGGACACGTTCAACCGCGAAAATAATTTATCGTTACCTCGGTAGTTATCCCTATTAAGCGCGAGGGATTTAGTCCGACATTGCAGCGAGATAACGGCGTACACGTAACTCCTTAGGCTGCTTGGCGGTGAATAACGACGCCTCTGTTATCTTCCATCTCCTACTTCCACTTTTACGGTCCAATTTCAAGCTCCATCTTTAACGAAGACCTAAGACTCGTTCGGTTTCCCTCTTCTTCCATGCTCCGCGAGCAACGCCAATCGACTGCCGTTCTAGCCTCAGAACTTCCCAACCTCTTTCTCCTTTTCTTGCTGTCTCTGTTCTTTCGAAGAAAAACTTTTCGAATGGTCGCTCGACTAACGAAGCCAATTATCTGTTAGAAGTCGATGCTGATTCCTTCGTTACGGCAAATCACTGTTTACCTTCGCGACCACGGTTAAGTAATTCCCGGTCGAAAGGGGCCGAAAGTTGCTCCGTCTCGATGTACGCGTCGATCAAACAGCGATTTAAAAGTTACCTTCTTCCATGCAGAACAACTTTCGGAGCAACGTTGTTGCGTTTCTGGAAGGAAGCTTTCTTTTTTCACCGAACGTTAGCATCGTTCTTGAACGGTTCGCTCCAAACTTTCTTATTCCGCCGTTCTTTTCTGTGTTCTTTCCACGGAGGAGTTTGGCTTTTATCACCGTCTTTGTTCCGTAAGCAGCTTCGAAAGCTGCTCCGCGAATTTCAGAAACATCTGCTGGCAAACTTATGGAACGAGAGTGGAAAAGTATCGAAAGCAAAGCGTCTTTAAATGCTACATGTTTTCTCGAACCGGTTAGTTAGACGAGAAGTCACGAAACTTATGCGAGTATCGATTATTCGGAGTATCAAGAGGAAAAGGTTTTCCAGGAATCTCCTTAGATTCGCGTGACAGTATCTGCAAACCTTGTCCCGCGTCCATCATCGCGAAATCCCTGTTTCCCACTAGTTCCAGGCCTATCCATCGATCCGCTTAAATGGATTACCTGCCTTGACAGCCACGTGCCTAAAATACATACGGATCTAGCTTTTCCCGCTCCTATCGGTTACGTATTATCTCGAAACAAAACGCTGTCTTCTGTCTCTTCCTCCACGGTTCCTTCGTTTCTTCGCGGGTTCTTTGTTCGAAAGTGGAACAGCTTCGCTGTACTCTCGACGTTTTACGACTATTAACCACGGATTTGCATAGAGAAAGCACAGTTCGCGGTATCCACCGCTACGAGGAACATTATGCTAATCTCTCATTGGAGGGAAACCGCGGTTCAGTTTCAATTTCCGTGGAACATTAACGAAACGACGTTCGAGATTACCCCTGTTACTCTACACTACACTCTACGAATCTCTGAAATTTCGTGAAATCGTGCGAATCAAAGAAACGAAATTGCCATTACGCCGGTATTTCTTGCACTCGTTACCCTGCCACCGAGACACTCGCGACATCTATTCGGTGTCGTAGAACGATAAATCGCCAGATACCGCATCGATTACATGGCACGGTAAGTGCTCGATTTTCGAAACGAGTCGGAAATTTTGCTTCCAAGTTTCTCGCGCGACGTAATCGTTAAACCATATCGGAAACTCTGTAATACCGTTACAACATGGACAACCTGTTTATTTAATCGGACGCGATTGCCGCAGATTAATCGTGGCTCCACGGCCCAGGTAATTGTAATTTCCTGTTTCTCGATGACTTAAGCCACGAATTATGTAATTAGATACGCTCGCGTATCGGACTCGAGGATAATTTTGCACGAACGTTTCTTGCCGAGCGATCTCTTCGCTCGATGCCAATTATGATCGCGTCCCTTTGATAATTAGCGAAATCGATATCGATCCGACAATTTCACCCTGCTGGTTGAATGTTAAACGGTTGCGTGCTCGCAAAATCAACACCCCTATCCGATGTCGACGTTCCAGCGATCCGGAAACCGATGTCCCGCATCTCCACGCTCGAACAAAGAGTCCGCGATTGATTCGCTTGTCGCTTGACCCACAAGATTATCAAATTTGTTGCTTATCGACGATAATTAATCTCTCGACCCGTTCGTTGCGGCCCACGATGTACAGATTGAATATCGATCGGCGAAACTTTCTAATTAGTCTTAACGCCGCTTTAAAACTCGATCGTTGCGAATATTGACAAATTGAAACACCGTCATTATGCTCGTTGCTGGACGATCGCGTCATTTTCTATATTCCCGGCACGAAATTCGGCTTCGACTTTGAAATTTTACGACTGGAAGCTGGGATCGAATTTATCGGTCGAACCGAGGACCGGGTTAGACGGTCGCCATCTGCTTCGACTATAAATCTTCACCCGACTCCGAAACATCCCGTTGCAACGTAGGCGCACATACTCTCTTTCGCCGTCTTACATAATCCGCGCGACGAGAATTAATATTGTAGCTGTTCTTAATATTGTAGCTGGTCGGATCGCTAATTGCGCGTTCGATAAATACGAGCCAGCCGCTCCTAAGAGTGGAATACAGTTTTACCGGGTCAGTCGTTAATAAAGCGGGATTAAATTTCCGGGAAACTCGTCTCGGGGGCACGTTAGCTCACCAAACGAGGCTGTTCTTTTTTCACGGAGTCGAGAAGAGCAGAGATTCCCGTCTGATTTCTGAGTGCTTAAGAAAATTACGAAACCGCCTCGGCCAAAATTCTTTGCGTCTCGAGTTCCTCGAGTCTTGACACGACTCTTTAACTGTTTATATACGTTCTTTGAACAATCCGTAAATATACTATCCTCTTAGCTGGCTGGCAGCCTTTCGTAAACTCCCTTTAAGAATGAAATTTCGTATTGAAATTGAGTGTACCTTAATTTTAAATTAAAGAGGCAATCGAGCGAAAGTATCCCTGAAAATTATAACGCGTCAATCAGTCTATCTATTGAGCGAACAAGGCTATTAATCAAACCGCTAGGTAGCCACTGACTATTGATCGTCGAACGAAATCAATTCGCTATTCTCCAGCACGTAACCCGGTAACGTCTCCATCAGGTGCAGAATGGCACGGTAGAGCTTCGCTGGTCGATTCCTCGGCTCGACTATGGAAGAGGGAAGCTCGTAGAGTTCAAGAGATGGCTGGTTGCAACGGCTGCCACAAGGTTTCCGTATCCGACAGTACTTGGGCCCATCTTTGTTCCCATTTCCATAGCTATTCCATTAGCGGACAACTCTGAGCCGACCTTGTAATCTAATAACTAATCTCGCCAAGACGTACCGCCTCGGATGAGCCACGTATCTCGAGATGAAACTCGCCGACAACGACGTCGAGGATACAGGACGTTCGAAAAGCAACGACGTCGTAATCGAACGTTTCCCTTTTCTCCTCGTAACCCGGTCAAATTTTACAGAAGTTCGTCGCGAGAGACGAAAGAAAAGCGTAAAGCAGCGGCTTGCTCTTTACGGCTTGCGACGTCATAATGTTTACAATCGCGGTACAAGAGCCGCTACAGAGCCATAAAGGAAAGCTCTTGGCGCGAAACATCGCTAACCCGGACGAGATCTTTCAACGTTTCGAGTACACCGTTGCCGGTTTACTTTGCGAAACGAAGAGTACTCTCGTCGTTCGAAATATTCTCGACGAACAATTGCCGTCGCAACGTCGCGAAAGCCCGTTCGAAACGGGATAGCTTGTCCGGTAGAAACGATACGATTTCCAGTAATAATTATTCCCGAGTAAGCTGCTGCTTACTCCATCGAATCGTGCTCTAATCGTTCTCGTTATTTTTCCGTGTTCGAAACGAGCACGAAAGAAGTAGGTGCAGCCAAGAATTTGAAAGCACTCGGTTTTGCAATTCATGAGTCACTAATTACTCCGATTTCCGGGAAACTCGTCTCGGGGGCACGTTAGCTCACCAAACGAGGCTGTTCTTTTTTCACGGAGTCGAGAAGAGCAGAGATTCCCGTCTGATTTCTGAGTGCTTAAGAAAATTACGAAACCGCCTCGGCCAAAATTCTTTGCGTCTCGAGTTCCTCGAGTCTTGACACGACTCTTTAACTGTTTATATACGTTCTTTGAACAATCCGTAAATATACTATCCTCTTAGCTGGCTGGCAGCCTTTCGTAAACTCCCTTTAAGAATGAAATTTCGTATTGAAATTGAGTGTACCTTAATTTTAAATTAAAGAGGCAATCGAGCGAAAGTATCCCTGAAAATTATAACGCGTCAATCAGTCTATCTATTGAGCGAACAAGGCTATTAATCAAACCGCTAGGTAGCCACTGACTATTGATCGTCGAACGAAATCAATTCGCTATTCTCCAGCACGTAACCCGGTAACGTCTCCATCAGGTGCAGAATGGCACGGTAGAGCTTCGCTGGTCGATTCCTCGGCTCGACTATGGAAGAGGGAAGCTCGTAGAGTTCAAGAGATGGCTGGTTGCAACGGCTGCCACAAGGTTTCCGTATCCGACAGTACTTGGGCCCATCTTTGTTCCCATTTCCATAGCTATTCCATTAGCGGACAACTCTGAGCCGACCTTGTAATCTAATAACTAATCTCGCCAAGACGTACCGCCTCGGATGAGCCACGTATCTCGAGATGAAACTCGCCGACAACGACGTCGAGGATACAGGACGTTCGAAAAGCAACGACGTCGTAATCGAACGTTTCCCTTTTCTCCTCGTAACCCGGTCAAATTTTACAGAAGTTCGTCGCGAGAGACGAAAGAAAAGCGTAAAGCAGCGGCTTGCTCTTTACGGCTTGCGACGTCATAATGTTTACAATCGCGGTACAAGAGCCGCTACAGAGCCATAAAGGAAAGCTCTTGGCGCGAAACATCGCTAACCCGGACGAGATCTTTCAACGTTTCGAGTACACCGTTGCCGGTTTACTTTGCGAAACGAAGAGTACTCTCGTCGTTCGAAATATTCTCGACGAACAATTGCCGTCGCAACGTCGCGAAAGCCCGTTCGAAACGGGATAGCTTGTCCGGTAGAAACGATACGATTTCCAGTAATAATTATTCCCGAGTAAGCTGCTGCTTACTCCATCGAATCGTGCTCTAATCGTTCTCGTTATTTTTCCGTGTTCGAAACGAGCACGAAAGAAGTAGGTGCAGCCAAGAATTTGAAAGCACTCGGTTTTGCAATT